CCAGTGAAACCTGGGCACTGAGCCTTGAACACACTTCTGATGTACCCTTCCCTTTGCTGACTCTGCTTTGTCCCCTGGTGCTGTAGTAAATCCTAACCATGAGTCCCACCCTATGCTGCGTCCCAGGAGTCCTCTTAGTGGATCACTGAATGTGGGGGTGGTCTTCAGGACCCCCGTCAGAGACAGAAATTGAGAATGTATCACCAGCAGATCCTGTTTTCCTGAAGGGAAAAATGAAAATGATTTCAGAAAGAAATACGGAAATGCAGGAAGAAAAAGGGTACTGCAAAGAGTAAAAGAGTGGGAAAATAGAAAACAGTAATGCTTTATAGAATTTTAAATGAGCCAAATGAAACTATATGAAAATAAGGCAGGAAGGAGAGCTGGAGCTAAGGTGTTCAACGATCCTGACATTATCTGCTAAGTAGTAATCTGGATAACAGTCTTATTAATAAAAAAAAATGTAACAGTTGATGTAGTCACTAAATTAATAGTATAATGAAATAAACGGTAAACAGAATACATAAGTAAATGAAAAGGTAAACAGATAATAAACTTGGTTACTACAAAAAAAGGAAAGAAAAAGGACTGAGTTCAATCCCTGGTTCTGCCAAAAAAAAAAAGAAAGAAAAGAAAGCAAGAGGAACCTGAAACAGATGGCAAATGAAAATAAATGCAAGTATATGAATAATTAAATGTAAGTGCATTAAATACATGGAGTAGAAACTGTCTAAAAAACAAAACCAAATGACATGCTGTTTAAGAAACATACCTTAAATATTTTCTTAAACACATCTTAAATATAAAGACATACAAACATTAAAGATAGGATAGAAAAAGTGGCATGGGGGGGAAAAAAAGAAAAAGTGGCATGCGGCTGAAGAGATAGCTCAGTGGTCTAAGCACTTGCCTGGCAAGCTCAAGGACCCAGGTTCAATCCCCAGTACCACACAGCATGCCTGCCCAGAACCCCAGATGTGCCTTGCCATGCAGAGCGTGGTGGCGCATGCCTGTAATCCCAGTGCTGGGGAGGCTGAGACAGGAGGATCACTACAAGCCCAAGCTGTAGGGAGACCCTGCACCAAATGCATAAATTAAAAGAAAATGTGTCATGCAAATACTAGTCAAAAAGAAGCTGCATCATCAGACAAGAAGCTGGACATTTGACACTAAGATGGTCATTATATCCACAAGGAACGTATGAATGTTACTGCACTGACAAAAGTAAAAAGAGACAGGGACTTGCCATGTTGGCCCCGCCGCCCAGGGGCGCACTCATACAGTGACTAAGATATCGTAAGCCTGTAATCCCAGATCTTGGGGAGCTGAAAACAGGAGGATCACTAAGAGTCTGATTTGTGTAGTGAGATCCTATACATCCTGTACCAAACACATTAAAAAAAAGAAAAAAAAAGACAAATTTATAATCATAGTGTAAGACTTTAAGTAGAAAATAGCCAAAAAAAAAAAAAAAAAATTAGTAAGAAAAAATACTCAACAAAAACAAACTTGACCTGACTTACGCATACTTACATAACTGCACCCCAAGACTCCACAAAGTGCATCTTTCCAAGTGCATAGAGAATGCTTAAATTGAACTTATACCAAGGAATAATGTAAATCTTACCAACTTTCAAAAAACTGAAATCAGTCTATTTTCTGGCCACAGTAAGATTAAACTAGAATCATGGGGGGGGGGGGAACCAGATAAACAGCAAAACCCCAAAATGTGTGCAAGAAAGCACTAGTCTCCTAAATGATGACACATGGGTCAAAAGAAAAATTACAACAGAAATGAGAAAATATTGAGTGCACTAAAAATGAAAACCAGAAGTCAAAACTTGCAAAATACAATTAAAGCTATAGAGTATGTGTATAAAGGAAGGCTGAAAACTATAAGCTTGATATGCACCTTAAGCAATGGAGGAAACAGGGTTAAGTTCACAGAATGTAGGATGAAGAAACTAATTAAAAACTTCATGACCTAGAAAACAAAGAGAATATGGATAGAGTCCCAAGTTATTTCTTTCAAGAAATCTATGAAAACTGACAAATTCTTAGCAAAACTAATTAAGAAAGAGCATAATTTATCAATGCCAAAAATAACAAGGATATTAGCATAACACTACATGAAAAAGATCATAAAGGGTTATTTTGAACAACATTATGCTAATACGCTCGAAAACTGACAAAATGGCCAACTTTCTAGAACACCCCCATACCAAAATTTGAGAATAAAAAATACAAATGCTCGTATATTGAAGAATGCAATCAACTGTCATAAAAACTCTTCTATGCACTCTTGCAAAACAGAGGGAGACCACAAGATGAAGGAAGAATGGACGGAGAAGGGGGCCAGCAAGAAAAAGTTGTACTGTATACAAGCACCAACTCTCCTCGACGACTGTAATCATTAGGTAGTGCAAGTATGTGCTATTAAACATAAAAATGAAGTAAGACTTAAAAAGAAAATACAATTTTCCTATGCAGAACTGTTCCACATATTCCCGAGGCCACTGCCCTCCCAGATGCAGCGCACGCCCTCCTCCTCCAGCCTGGCAGTGCGCGGGACCTCCCTCCGAAGTGTGCAACGCGAAGCATAGAAAGGGGTAACTATCTAGTGGGCAAGATGTAAGAAATAGTTACAACGCCCTGGTCCTGGAACGAACTTGGTAGTTGAGGCCGCAAGGCAATTGGTTCGAATCCCCATTCGCCGTGCACCCCGAGCCGAGCAACCCGACCTTTCCGTTAGGTTCACAAAGCCTACTTTCGGGGCAACGGGAGCGCTCAAGGGGCGCAAGGCGGGCTGGCGCTAGCGCCCTCCCGCGCGGGCACGCGGCCGGCATTCCGCAGCTCCCGGCGCCGAGCTGGGCCGCCGGGGCGAACGCGCCGCGAACCCCGATGCCGGCGAGCTCGGCCATCGCGCGACGGGGACGTCGGGCCCCCTTAGCCGTTCCGATAACGAAGCCCGCGCTGGAGGGGCCCGGTGGCCACCGCTGCGGGGCGCCGCCCCGACCCCCTAACCGCGAGGCCCACCTGCGGCAGCGCCTGGTCCGGCCCGCTGCCCGCGCCCCACTCCGGGAAGAAGGCGCCCAGGCGCGGCATCGGCGTCTCCGTGCGCACAGGCAGCTTCTCGTGGGACATCAAGATGTCGTCCAAGGAGAGAAAGTTCTCCTCGGGTCCAAGCGCGCCCGACTCCACCCGGAAATACGCCTCGGACATGGCGGCGGCCCGACCCCGTCCGCCTCCTTTCGGGTGATTCAAGTGGAACCCGGAGGAGCGGGAGGCCGGGCAGGACCCTCGGAGTCTCGCGGCAAGCGCGGGCCGCCCAGCCGGAGGAAACTCATTTTCCCGCGCTCAGGGACAGGCCAGACCCGAGCAGTCGACCGGAGTGGGCCCGCCACTAGCCAGACAGAAGCAATCGACAAAGTTTGCGGATGAGGTCCGGCCAGGCACCTGGGGGTGGGGGTGGGGGTGCGTCCACCGGAAGTTCTCCTCCCTCTTCCTGCAGCCTCACGTCGGAACTTCACCCGGAAGTTTACCGCCCTTTGGGCTGTAGGGTCATCTGTACCAGATTATGTTCGTGTGTGTGGTCCTTTAAATGTTTATATGAAATTAAAAACGTTTTACAACACATTTGGGGGCTTCAAATGAAGACATCATGTACCATCTACTTCAAGCCTAAATGAATATCTCTTCGATCCAGTTCTCCCGTGTTGACAATACTTCTTTTGTTGTGACATCACAATTACAGTTACCTTGGCCGGCTATAGTACATTAGTGCTGAGGTACAGATTGCTCTTGTCCAGCTGTATTCCAAATTGGGAACTCATGTAGCTTATCTTGGTATAAGGCAGTCTTGATCAAGAAGTTCCCTTTCAGATCAAATGTTATCTGCAAAACTTTACAATACTCCACTTACCTATACTTGAATCCTCAAATAGGCATACTTTGAGCTTGACTGGTACCATAAGAGTCAAGGGATGCTTAATTTAGGAGGAAAAGTCTGACCCAACACCAGCATCCTCCTAAACCCCAACGCTGACACTACCTTCTGTATTTTATGATGCTTTGATACCTTGGAGCTTTGGGAATGCACTGAGGAATTGCCTTTTTAGATACATAATTTACAGAAACGGCAAAACACTAGGCCCTGCTAAACTGCCTTTGTTGTACAATTATGATGATCCAAGCCCATATCTGGAGCCATTTCCTGTATCTAATTCACAAACTAATATTTCTCCCACCATGCCAACCACTGTAGTATGTCAATCCAGGCCCCAGCATGGGGCAATGAGATCTATCCTTGCCTTCCCATTCTTTCCCATGGAAATCATAACGAGTCTGTACCATGCTTTTCCTTGCTTCCTGTTCTCTGTGTGGACCCTGGCACTTCCCAAAGTGGTCCTGTGTGATGTGACATGCTCCTTCCTCTTGAGATCTGTCAGTAACAAAACTTCTTTTACTGGTGTTGGTCACTCTGTCATCACATCCGTGAATTAAATCTTGGATATAATCCAAACAGGATGCCTTAAAGAGTTGGCCAAATGGCGAAAAGTCTTGGTACTATTCAAGAAATTTAGGCTATTCCAAAGAAAACGGGAGAATTGTAAGGTTTTTGAGCAAGTAACAACACACATCTGAGCTTTAAGAATATAAAGCTGGAAGTGAGGGGAAGAAGGAATTAGATGTTGAGAAGCCAGCTTGGATGCTTTCAGTGGAAGGGGAAGTAACTAACTGGGTGTAGGAAGTAAAGGATAGACAGGGGTTAAAGATTGCCGCTGTGAGGGTGGGGAAATAGCTCAGTAGAATAAGCACCTGCTTGGCAAGTGCAGGGGCCTGAGTTCAATCCCTGATTCTGCCAAATAAAAAAAAAAAAGATTGATGCTGTGAACCTGGTTGAACAGATGGATGGAGATGTCACAATATACACAGAACACAAGAACAGAGGAAGTTGAGGCAGAGGATGCATTCAGCACGGGAAACACAGTATCTAGAAGCTACTGGATAGGCCACTGAAAAAACCATCCCAGAAGTATTAGAGTTACGAAGAATCTGCTTGGAGGTAGTTGTAACAGGGCTCCCCCACTCTCAAGTATATTTAGTTTGCTCCCCAATTCAATATAAAAATGAACATAACACATAGTGATAAGACAGAATTCCTCTGATGAAATGGATGTATGGTAGTACAGTTCAAGGTAGATGTATAAGTTAATTTGTTTAACTTAAAGAAAAAGAGGTTATTGATTGCTGAAGGCATTAAGCTACTTTTTAATGTTTTTAGATAAATGTTCAAGATACCAAGATAAATATTTAATGATCTATCAATGTCAAAGAAAGGCATTATTTCTGTACAAAGACTAGTATATTCATTCTAATTGCAAATACCAGTGTTATGTTCATACTAAAGTAACAAGCCAGTATTTAAAACAGAATTAGATGGTCTTATTTTTGTTATTTAACATTTTGGCTCATCATAAAACTATCCTTTGTTACTTTCTGAGCTTTTTTTTTTTTTTTTTTTGGCAGTTCCGGGGATTGAACTCAGGACCTAGTGCTTGCCAGACAAGCACTTATTCTACTGAGCTATCTCCTCAGCCCCTCCCCTTTGTCACTTTCTATTTTTACTCTAGTTAATCTCTCCTTGAACTAGTAAGTGAATACCAGGAAAGGTGAAATTAATCTAAATTGAGTTTATGGTACTAAACTATTCATTGGTGCTAAATTATTCATTTGTCAGGATTAGCACATGGTTTATCAAGTATGACTCTCTCTCTGTAGTCTAAATCCTAAGAATGACATATGCTTCCCTTTGACAAATCTATGTTCCTTACTGCTAGGTTTTTCAGTGGTGCAGCAGAGAAGCAGAAGTAAAAGAAAAGGATGGAAAAGGCCTTTATTTTCACTGAGCAGGACATGAGGAAGATTGGAGGCAGGGAGATAGGGGAATCCTTTGACCTGAGATGTGAAGACTGAGACGTTATAGACTTTTGATAGGAGAAGGAGGAAGAGATCTTTGGGAAGATAAGTGGTTGTTTTGGGAGATTCAAGCCATGTTGAATCAGGGCCATGATAAATTGGCAGTTTGTACTTGGGCCAGAACCGATCACTTAATCCTAGTCAAATAGCCAATGTATCAGAATTAGCAAACATAATTTCAGTATATTGATAATATTTAGCATATATTTAATATATTACAATATAGAACTTCACTATTGTATTTTGACAAGTATCTGCTAGATTCCTGAAAAACTGAGTAACTTTCCAATACGATTATTTGAAGACTGCAGGATCGTAGAATGGCAACGTTTTTGGCCATAGACGAAGTGTTTTCATGACAAGGACAAGCGCTACATTATTTTTTGTCACTTAGTCTCCAAAGTCATAGTTTTAGAAGCAGACACAGCTTTAGATATGCAAAACCATAAACAGGTTTCTCATTTTTTTTTGTCCTCAAAGATATCATTTATTATATTTTGCATTATCCTCACAATCTTTCTAGATAGGCATACATAATAGAGAAACGCTGTATGAAAAACCTCATATATTGAAGCTAGAATTTTACTTTTCCAAACCATTGTAAGATAAGAAAAATGTAGTCTCTCGCACATACATTACCACATTTTCTCTATTAGTCTGCATACCTTACAGTATCACATATTTATGTATATGGCAGTTGGATATTAGAGAATACCTTTTGGTTTTCTATACTAGGTTACAAGTTTTAGAAGTCCTGAATCTAGTAGAAGAAAAATCTTCATTTGAAACCTCAGTGTAGTCTCTTTACAGTCCAAATTATATTTTTTAGAAAGTCAAGATATTTGCTTTGTTCTATTTATTTCTTTAAGGGATGGGGAAGAGGTTTTTTTTTTTTTTAAAGGTTCTCTGTTTCCAAAAGCTTTCCCAAAGACCGGGGATTCATTTTCATGACACAACAGTGTCCTCAAAGCTTTTATGACAATCTCAATTCAAATACCGACATTTTCTGAAATCCAGTGTATTTATCTGGACACATTCTTGCTTATGTATGAAAGAAAGGAACCAGCACTTTGGCTTCAAAAGCAAATTTATAATTACATATCTAACTTGCTTTTGATAAAGGACCACTCAGCTAAGATAGCCTCAATCATTACATCTAAGGAAACTGGAATTAATTAAGGGACTGCTGCTTCAAAGAACTATGCCTCCAATAAGGGAAGGAGAGAGGAATTCCAAGTCCACATACCACATTCAGAACTAAATATCAACAATCTCATTCTTTCAATATCTATAAATAAAGTAAATGAAGGAAACAAGAATTACATGAATGTTAAAAAGTACATAGAAAACTCAATGCTTTTCATTACATTTGTCACTTACTACATTACAATAAAATGCTTGTAAGAAAATAATCACATAAAACAGAAGGGTAGTTATGGTTCAGAAGCTTTTGAGAGAGCTGGGGAGGATGGTACACTCCTGTAATCCCAACACAGGGAGGCTGAGGCAGGGGGATCACGGTGAGCTCAAGGCCAGCCTAACCTGCACAGTGAGACTCTGTCTCAAGACTGAAAAAAAGTTCTCGAGAGCGTGCAAATGATATATTCCAGGAGCACTTAGGACACTGACGCAGGATCACTGTGAGTTTGAGGCCAGCCTGCGCTCCCTAGTGAGCTCAAGGCCAGCCTGAACTTCGCAGCTGAGACCCTGTCCCAAAAAAGAAGGGAAAGAAAGAATGAGGATCACTTGCCCTGACTTAAATTTAATCCCCTGTCCTGAAACAGATCACTCCGCAAGCTCAACATCTACACTGGGCCTTGAGAAGTCAAAGCAGAAAGTAAAATTATACAAAGCCAGAAATTCCACCAATACATCTAGACAGATGTTTGCTTGTAGTTTTTGGTATCCAAAACTTTTTTTCCACACATCGCACAGATGCCTTTCTTGTAGGCACAGCCCTGGCAGTAGTGGGACCCCGGCTGGTGCACAGAGCTTTTACAAAGTCTGAAAGTGGAGAACTTATTCTTTCCATACGGATCAAATCTTGCCTTTTTTGAAGTCAATGCTTTACTTTCATTCAGGTTTCTTCCACCACTTTCTGTGGTATTTCTTGCACCATCTTTCCACGTGTCCGGTGCAATAACAGTACCAAGTTTCTTTTCACATTTTTCGCACACCATCCTCACGCCTACTAGCCCCTCAGCCGCAGAAGGTGCAGCAGCTCCCAGGTTTCTAATTTAAAGCTTTAAATTTGTTTTTTGTCTTTGCAGTGCTGGGGGTTGAACCCAGGACCTCATACAGTCTAAGCAAGCACTCTCTTCCCAAATATCAGGGCTAACTTTCCTTCATTGAGTGGGGATGCTGTGATAAAAGTGATAGAAACCCTAATCCAAGGGGGAATGAGGGCCTTTGGGGTGGGGTAGAAAGAAAAAAAAATGTATTGGACTCCAACATGGAAGGTTTGGAGTTTTCCTTGAACCTCTTTGCTGTCCTTGTGTTCCATAACTGGTTCATCAGTCCATCTTGGCTCTACTGGCACAGTACTTTTTAAGCATCAAAA